CTGTAGGAATGCCAATGTATACATGTTGAAGAACAAGAAATCAACTTAACCTAATTTCAAAAGTGTTATGGTTTGATAACTAGTGGTCAGCTTAACACCAGCTGGATTACATCAGCATGCATCGAGAGAAGATGCTCCACCTGAGGAGGGTTGCTAGGATAAATAGGTGGAGAAGAAGAGAGGTGTTGGGAGGGATTGAGGTGTTAAGGAGGAATTATGGGTTCTCCTACGAGTTGCTGTCTGAGCTGTTGGTTCACCTGGAGAAGCTTTGGTCTTCACATCGAGCATTGCTTCCTGGCTCTGGAGGGGAAGACATGTGCTGCCTGGTCTCCAGGATGAACTCCTCATGCTGCTTCCTGGCACGTACCCAACTGTGCTTGTCGGAGGAGGAGCTCGGGGCCTCCGTGTCACTGAGGATAGCTGTGGTGCCTTTCAGGACAGCCCCACTCTTTGTTATGTGACTCCTCCTCGGCTCCAGTGAAAAACCCTCATCCCACTAGCACAGCTCCTTCATCCTGCTGGCATAGACTTTCTGGCTTCCACTGCTGACCCTTGGGTCTTCCTGGCACAGATCCGTAAAAGAGACTGGCATGAGTCCTTCTTGTGGGCTCTGGACTTCCAGTTGGACTCGTGAAGGCGTTGCCCTGAGCTCTGGGTTTTTATCTGGACTCATGTGGGACATTGCCCTGGAGTTTAGATTCTTGACTAAATAATATGTCTTTGGTGTTGCAGATAGATTTCCCGCATTTTCCCATGTTAACTTCCGGTGACTATTATAAAAATATTATAAACTCCATGTCCTGATCTGAATTGTTCTCTGTGTCCAACCCCTGACTACAACAAATAGATATCCATAAAATTATTACCAAAAAGATATCATGGGAGGGTTTATAACACCTAATATTTCATATGTGAGTTGAATGGATTGAAAAATACTAATAGTAACATAAAATATTAATAGTAACTTAATAATAACTTGTATATTAAGTTGCAAAGTTTATTCAGTAATATGAAGCAGAAATTCATCCAGCAGTTAAAGGACTATGTTCCAATGTGACACAAAAACTGGCAAGATAGAAACTAGAAACTAGTTGTATTCTTTGATACTGTGATTTGAGGAACTATTTTCAAGATGATAATATGTAATATACTAACAGGTGATTTCTTACTGTTATGTTTTTTTTGTTGGTTTGTTTTGGTTTTTTTTTTTTTTTGTTTTGTTTTGTTTTGCTTTGTAGTTCTGTATTACGTGTACCCTTACACCGCTTTGGTTTGTTTTGTGTTTTTCTCTTTTTCCTCTTAAATAAAAAAAAAAAAATTACAATAATCATGCATGAACTTTCAAGTAGATATATACAGTGATAATACATATTGTATGGGAATTAAGTTGGTATATAATAGGCTAATGAAAAAAGAAACAGAAAGATAGGAAATGAAATTATTTGAATTTTAGCCCTTTTTAACCCTTTAAAATTATTTAGAACTAAATAGTGACAACGATAAAAATGATTTTCATTTCAGCAGAGCCCAATCCCAAGAACTCATTGCCCTTTACTGCCTTCTGAAATATTTTTCTAGGCATAAATATACATACTGTAAATTAACAGCATTCTCCCTTACCAAAAAGAATATGGTTTCTTTTTAGTCCCCGTATAACAGCTAACATAAAAACATTATTCATTACAAGTTGGATAAAAATGAAACTCAACTAGTTTAATTTTAGGACACATCAGTGTTGAAGAATGAACCCAAAGAGCAAATTCTATGAGATTTAGAATACAATTTAATCATTCCCAAAGCCTAAAAATAATCATTGAAATTAATGTTATATAAATAAGTAGAGACCCTGAAAAACAATATTAGGAGCTCACTGTGTTTCAGAAAAGCACAAAAACTGCTTTGGGCTTTGTAAAAGCCATGTGACCTATATTTCTATTCATCATTTGTTTTCCTACCAATTCAGTCTCATATTCTCACTCCTCTCTCTCAACTTTTTTTCTTTCTTCTCCCTTCCCCTTCAGTTCATTTTATTTCTTTTACATATTTTCTTAACACACCAGAATATATAATCTATGGATAGCAGTGTTATTTACTAGTTGTATTTTTTTGATATAGAACACTACAAGAGTTTGCTATCAACAGTTTTCCTTTTGAACTGCTTTAATACCTAATAACTGCATAGCTTCTGAACTGAAATGTCAAACAACCTTATATTACAAAACTTTATGCTTTTTCATAACCTATAGAAATTCTCTCCACACAAGTATTAGCCTCTAAAAGGAAAGGCTAATAGATAGGAAGCATATGGACTCTCTTTGCTCAAGTCTCAAATCAAATAGGCACCCAAAGACCACGATCCAAAGTCATATAAAAACAGCATTTCATTTAGGAAGACTTTATTTTGTTTGTTTTGGGTATGTGTTTTTTTAATTGTGCTGGAAAAAGTAGTAGCACCACTGTGACTACAGAGAGAATGCTTGCATCAAGGCATGCAGAAAATCCTCTGCAGTTGTTTAAATAACCAAGAAGCAAACACCTATGGATAGTGGACTCAGAGATAAGCTGGTAAGCCAAGACTGAAGTGGATGTCTTGAGATGTACTATGGGAGCTGAGCAAAAAGCACATGACAAGGGCAAGAACCTAATTTGTAAGGAATTAGAGTTCAGTGATTGATTTGGAGTGACAAGCCACAGGATAATATAAAACTCTTCACTGTATGTTGTATGACATGTGGAGAGAGCATTTCTCCAAAGCAACAATAAGAAGCTCCACAGATATGATGCTTTAGACAATGACAGGCTATGCTACAGCCATCTTTAACTTGGTCAAGGTAACCGAAGTGGCGCATCCCTTCCCCTCAAAACACTGCTCTTTTATGGCAAAGAACACTGAGACCTGGGATCTGAAATGTATTACTTTTGATTACATGAAGTTGGCTTGGGTAGTTCAAGCTAAGTATCCATACTCTGAGTTTCTCTTGGGTTCTTACTTATGTTTCTGATCACTTTTTTTTATGAAGAATGACCTCAGAGGGAAATCCTAATTTCCCTAAGGCACAGCTAGTTATTAGTATGATGTTCAGGCATGGTCAGAAAAATTCCAAGTATTACCCCTCTTATCTTGATAAGTTCTCTATCTAAGCTCCTAGGTTTACCTTGATTTAAGGAATCACTATGTGGTCCAAATGTTCTTTTCTCAAGGTAGTTCATAAGCAACTGAATAAATTTGCATTAGAAATTCAATTAACTTTATATTAAAAGGTCAATTAACTGGGCCATGATAAAGATTGTTTTTAATTACTTTTCCTTGTACGGTATCTCTTCTTGTCTAAGCACAAGTGATATCATCAAATCACAGTCTCACTGTCTGCTGGTTGCTTAAACATAGTTGAAGAGCACTGGAAATGACTGAATTGGTTAAATGAACCAGCAGGGCACTCTTTAGGAAATGCATCACTGTTAAAAATCCTTTTGAGATTTTAGTATCAGTAAGCAATAGTAGAGTGCTTAACTTTCTCTAGTATTATTCATGACAATATCATTTATTATTTGTCCTTGTTAGTGTCTACTATTTGAGTATTTGATGATAATAAAGGAAAATGATTTTAGGGCTTCGTTCTTATTATACAGTGTCACAGTGTATTTTAAAATGTCTTCAAAACTAGATATTCCATTTCAGTAGAGAGATTTTAGATTTCTTTGTATTAATATGGATCAAATTACAACTCATTCATGAAGCACTGGAACATTTATACTTAGAGTAGCAGTATTGTGGCCACTGTTACTAAGAGAGACCAATTAATAGGCTAGCTCTCAGACAAAATGAAATGATATATAAATAAAGATATAAATATATAAGCAATATGTTAACATGTTTTATATATTGACATTTTAACTCAAATTCCAGGTGACTGGTAACTTAAAATTACTATTCAGTATTGACATGAGACAAAGTCTTGAAATAAAACATTATGTTTTATTTTTGCAGAGAGACACAGCCTTTAACAAACAAGAGCACTAACAATGTGTTAAACACTTTAGCAATGTTACCTAAACTATTATTTCTAGAATTTGATGAATAAAATGTATTGTTCTCATTTTATTGAATGCAAGACTTCAGCTTATGTTACAGCTAAGGTCATATAGAGATAGTTAGAGGAAGATGGAAAAAACACCACCTTTGGTCTGGTCTTTCAAAGTTTATACTTCCATCTAGGATAAAACCAATAATCATACAAGTAGGAAGAATATGAAATGTTTATAAAAAGGGATTAGGGAATGTTTTGAATGCTTACAAAGCAGTTTTGGAACTCACAGAAAAGGAATAGTTTAGGCCAGCACAATTCAACAACTGGGTTCAAAATAATGTAAAATAACTATTAAATGTTTTCTTCCCATAATAGGACCCTGTCAGTGAAGGAGGCATTAACTTACATTCTGTTGGGTGTTTATAATCTTTTGATGATCAATAACAGTTTGCAAACAAGTAACCAGTCCACAACCTATTCTGTAAGTGGCACAAGTTTAAGAAACTTCTTATGGAATTTTTCCCTTCTATGTCATTTTGGATAAAGCAAACCTCAAATTTATCCTATTTTTCTCTATATTACAGATAACAGTGAAGGGTTATGTCCTAAACCCTATAAATCTGTGTGAGGGTATTAATCTTAGTTGAAATGAAAGTAGTCCTTTCTTCCTTCCTTCCTTCCTTCCTTCTTTCCTTTTTTCTTCCCTTTTTCCCCTCCTACCTTCCTTTTCTTCCTTTTTTTTTGAATTTGGATCTTATTATGTTGTCCAGTGTGGTCTTGAATTCCTGGACTCTCCTCATCTTATAAAGTGCTAGAATACAGGTTTAAACTGTCATGTACATCTGGTATTGGTAGTTTAAATAAGCTGATCTTTTCTAAATCACAAAGGAAAGCTTTTTTAAAGAATGAACAATAGCCTTGAAATAGCATGATACTTACAGTGAATTACAAAATTTAAAAAAATATTCATACCTGCACCTCCGCCTATACTCAGAACCTTAATTTCTGATTTTGAACCTCCAATCCTGAAAAATAAAAGTATGTCATTTAAGAAAAATGTATGTGCTTTAAAAACATCTTACTATCAAGTCTACTTGAACAGAGAGACTAAATACACAACAAACAGAAGCTAGGTCAACATGAAAGGTCCCAATAATTTCAGTGGTTAACATTGCTGTCTTGAGAGTACCTTTAAAAACATAGAGTCTTTTAATTAATAACCTTGAATGGGCTTTGGGTCTCATAATACCATAAACCAAAGGCACTAGGATTGAGGATGTGGGCACTATCTGCTGTAAGTAGCTTGGATAAGATTAAGGGAGCAGAAAGATACTGTTAAAGTGCCTTGCTTGCTTTGCTACTTTATGCCCACCATGAACTGTTCTGTACAATGCCTGTCTACCATACCATTCTACCTTTGAGCCAGTAGATTACGAACTGAAACCTCTATCAACTATGAGCTAAATAAAGTTTTTGTCCTTTAACTTTGGGTGTTGGGTATTTTGTCTAGGCAATGAGAGAAAGGTAACTAAGACTAATTATACCCAAGTCATGCAGGAATCATGCGAACTCAATGACTTAATTCATCTCAATATCTTGCAAACATACTTGAACATTGCAAACATTCAACATTTATATTACAGCAATTATAATTATATGATTCTAGGTATTGCCAAGTTACCTACTTAAATTAGTTCTTTGGCTACTCTCTGAATTGGTCATAGTCACATTTCATATATCTAGTAATGATAACAAAAATTATTGAACACTGTTATAGGTTGTGTCTGGATGCCTCCCACTCAAAACCTTATGTGGTCATAGTGGTTTTTGTTTTGCTTTGGTTTGGTTTTTTTCCAGAGGTTGCTGAATCTAGAGTTTGTGATTGATCCCTAGTGCAGTGCTGGGATTAAGGGTGCTGGCATTAAGGATGGATGATTTATAGATCAGTCCACTGACTGGACTGGCAACAGCCTAATTCTAGTAGACTGGATGCAATATAAGGGACAGAAAGAGGCTTGTTTGGTGTCTCCCTCCTGTTGCTTTTGCTATCTTCCGCTGCCATGGTCTGTTTCCCCTCTGCCATGTGCCACCTTGCCTCGGAGTCAGTCTATTATGGACTGAAACCTCTACAGACTTTGAGCTAAATAAACCTTTTCTTCTCTAACTTTGGGTGTTAGGTATTTTGTCCCAGCAAAGAGAAAAGTCACTATGACAGAATTTGGTACTAGAAGTAGGGTTGTTGCTGTGACTATACCTGACCATGCGATTCAGGAGCTTTTTCAGAATGGCTTATGGAAAGAGTTTGGAAAGATTCAGAGATACTAGATGAAAAATGAGAGCTAGAATACTTAGGCAGTTCTCTATGGAAGATTCTGATCAGAGCTCAGAAGACTAAAAGGCTGATAGAAATCTTGCTGGTAAAATCAGGATCAGAAGGTTTCTGCTGGGAAGAAAGACTGCACTGGCTCTTGGATTCAGAGGTTATATGTTATAGCTTGGCAGAAAGTTTGTCTGCATTTTGCTTGTATCCAGAAATTTTATCTGAGATTACAATTAAGGGTGATAGACAAATTAATCTGGCAGAGGAAATTTCAAGGAAGTCAAATGTTGAGTCAATGGCATGGCAATTGCTGGGTGCTTTTACCCAGATTTATGTTGAGAATCAAGAGCAAAGAGTTCAGCAGATGATTTAAAATGTTGTGAGTTTGGACAGAAAGAAAGTTATGGCCTGCAAAGATAGAGCAGAGGAGATCTTGTTCACTGAGAAACTATAGGAAAATAGAAAAGATGACCTGAGGGCACCACAAGAAACAGCAGCACTCCAACATGTGTGGTCTCAAAATTGCAAAACTGAAAGACTGTTTTGAAAAGAAAGCAGCTGTAGGTCATAGTACAGAATGGTTGCAGCAGAGAGACTTTGTTCCTCAGAACTGAATTCAGTGTGCTCAGTGATCCCAGTACTTCACCTCTACAGCCAAGAGATTAGGAAGCCTGGCTCCTTCTCCAGCTAGCAGCAGACCTTGGTATCTTCCACAAGGCACTGTACTTAAATGCACACAGAATGGAAGACTTGTGTGTAGTTAGGGAGGCTTCCACATAGATTTCAGAAGAAGTTCTGGGAGGCCAGGCAGTGTGCTCCTGAGAAGGCAGTTATGAGTGTGAAGCCAAAGGTTCAATAGAGATGCCAGAATTTTGGAGAAGGCAAAAACATGAATTATCTAAAGAAAACATCAAGGAGGGAGCAAAATATGCCCAAAGAGAAGGCCATATAAGCTATACTACCAGCAGTGCTCTAGGGGCAGAGACACCCAGGCCCTTTGAAGTTCACATCTTGCCACAGATTAGTTTGGATATAGGACATGGAACTGCAGGACTTAATGTTTGTCCTGCTGGATTTTGGACTTGGCTTTGGTCCCATATCTTTGTATCCCCATGTGTAAATTTTGGAATGGAAATGTTTGTCTTGTGGAACTGAATGAAGAATATATTTTTCTTTTCATTTGGACAAGGTCTCACAGCTAAAAGTTTGCCTGAAATCTTAGAGAAGGCTTTTGATTTGGACTTTTCAGTAATGTTGAAACTGCTAGGACATTGGGAACTCTTGGAGATGAACTAAATGCCTATGCATAAATGTTTGTGCATGAGTCTTTGGCAGGCCAGAGGTGATATGTTTTGTTTTATGTCTAGACACTCCCTCAAAGCCTTATAGTACCTACCCAGAGGTTGCTGAATCTACTGTATGTGACTGATTCCTAGTGAAATGTTGGAATTAAAAGTGCTGGGATTAAGGATGGCTGATTTCTGGATCAGTCCACTGAATGGACTGGCAACAGCCTAATCCCAATAGACTAGGTACAATATAGGAGGCAGAAAGAGGCTTGTTTGGTGTCTCCCTCCTATTGCTATCTTCCACTGCCATGAATTGTTATCTCTTTTCCATGTGCAACCCTGACTTGGAGCCAGCCTATTATGGACTAAAACCTCTTCAAATTTTGAGCTAAAAAAAACCTTTCCTTCTCTAATTTTGGGTGTTAGGTATTTAGTAACTAAGAAAAACACATTATTTTTCAGGCAAGAGTCTAAATGCTTTATGTATAACAATAACATAGTTTAAAGGAGCTATAACTACCTTCCGGTCCTACATATCTACCTCCATATAGGCAAAGTGAAAATCCTTTTCTGGGGAAATAGTCCCAGTGAGATGTGTTGATGCCTGAAGATCTCCAGGGAATAGCTGAGGCAACCTTCATTTAATAAAACAAGCCACTCACTCAACAAATTCCCCCTTCCATATGAAAATAGGATCCTAACCATTTTTAGTGACTTGTTTATTTTGTATTAGGGAGACAATCATGGCTCATCAATTGGTTGGAGATCTCTTCACCCCTGAGAATGACAACTAAAACAAAAAGGGAACCAAAAAGGAAACTAGAAGAATAAATAAAGGCAGTACAGGAAAAATTAATAATAGGTAAGAGAAAGTAATACATACATATGATGAAATGGATAATAAGAAGGGTACTATAAAAAGAAACATTCTTGGAAGTTAAAAATTTTAATAGATGAACTAAAACATAAATTTGTAGAAAATCAGATTATAGAAAAACTAGGGAAGTACTATAAGAGTTTTGATGAATGATGAGTAGGTACTTTAAATGAATAAAATAGATAAGAGGAATGATTCAATACTACTTGAAATGACTCATAGAATACTCACAAAGATGACGAAAAAGACCCACCCCATGATTCAGTAATTTATAATCTCAGAAAATGAGAGATAAGGAAAAGATACTAAAATTTTTAAGGCAGGATAAGCAAACCAAATAAAAACAAATTACAAAAACGCTGTAACACAAAACTGAGGAAACTGAATGGCTTTGGATGTCTTAATAACAATATGAGTAGCTGACAGATAACAGAAAAATATCTTTACATTAGTTATATAAAATCATTTTCAGGATAGTGTTTTATACATAGTCAACTATGTAATAAAGATAAATAGAAACAAAGGGATTTTCAACATACGAAGTCCCCCAAAATTTGCTATTCATTAACACAGCTGTGTTCCACCATTAGAGACTCAAATACAGGAGATAATTTCTAAGAAATAAATTCCTTCATCAACAGTTACATAGATGATCCAAAGAAAACTTTCCTAGAGTGCAAAAAGGAATAGAGGGCCTCTGAGAAGATATTTTCACAGGGAAAGTCAAACAGATTACTTGATATGTCTAGATATACTAAGAGCACAGTAATACATCTGCTTGGGCATAAATGGAGTGATAGACACATAGAAAACTAAGAAAAGAAACTCAAATCAATAAAATTATAGTCAGCTCTCAAGAAAAAAAAATTGTACATGAAAGTAAATGTAATTATAGTATATTGCTCAAATAAGAATAATATATTCATAGGCAAAATGACATACCAATCATATTATATCACAACATTTAACATAAATACACTGACATGATAGGGGAAATGTGTATGCTTATTTAGATATTTTAATATAATAAAATCAAGAACTAGAAGAAAAGCATGACTTTTAGTCATATGAAAGAAAACTGCATAAGAAGCAAATGATTTTGAAGGGTGAAATGATTGCTTCTGCAAAGTATGAATCAGTTGGAGTGGTAGGACAAGGAACCACTATTATTTGTTGCTGTTACAATCTTTCTGGAACCACTTGATTTCTTAAAGACATGAGCATGCTCTGCTTTGATGAAAATGTTAAAGTAAGCAGGCTAAGTCCTCACCCAATCAATAGCCAAGTCCAGCTGTAGCAAGCCCCCCACTCAGCAAACCCTGCTGTCCCACCAAGGGAATTGGAACCACTTTATAACTTCTAAAGAACTTCCGGCAAGATTAAAAGACCCTTCAACTAAATCTAATTTCAAATACTTCCTTTAGGAAAAAATTATTTTTGTAATAAAAGATATTTTGATTACAATACTCCTAATTATGCATTACCATTACAAGTGCAAATTTAATTATGATTGAAAATTCATCAGTCTTTCACAAAATTTACATGGGACATTCACTCCAGCTAGTCTGGGTACACTTGGACAGGGAATGGACTAGCATTCATTATGGTTTCATTGTATCTATGTATGGTACCTCTCAGACCCAGCTGTGGGGCTGAAAACACTCCAGGATCAGGATATGCTACACAAGGAAGGCAGAAATTAACTTACTGTTTTTCATTTTCAAATGACTCCCCAAAATAGTAAACTAAATTAGTTCCTGGATCAGAAGTTATCTGTATTAGATACCTGCTTTGATTTTTGTATCACTATCTTTTTACTTATTAACTTTTTAATGTGTATACTCTAAAATGAATGTCCGAGAAGTTAACCACATAAAACAGAAAATAGGTGAAACAGAATTCCATATACACTCAACAATGTCTGCTTTGGTCCAGCAGAGGCACTGCAGTGGTAAAATAATTTCAGGCCTAAAAGAGAAAAATTCAGCAAAAGATAAAACATCAGGTTCCTTTGCTTTTGCAAATTGCATCCGAAGTCAGTCATTTCTTCTCAGTTTTCCATCATTATTTCCTGAAGCAGAGGGAGTTACAGCAATTCATCCCCAGATAGGCGATTTGATTATCTTTAGCATGTGGAATCTGTTACTCTTGTAATGCTTATCAGCTCTGGCACAAATTGAACACATTAATCACCAATAAAAGGAGTCTGTGAGAAGGATAAAAAGTAGTGACTTTCACTGATAATGGAAAAATGCTCTTTTTTAAAGGATCACATTGCTAATACTAAGTTGAAAGTAAAGCCCCCCCCCCTTTTTTTAGAATGATAATGGTAATAACGGGTAAAGACAGATGAATTTAAACAAATATTATGAGAACCAAGAAACGTACCCACTCAATCTTCAGGGACAAATAGTACTGGCAATTATTTATGTTTGATTCTAATGAGAAAAATATCACGTTCCACTTGGGGCTTTTTTTAAATATAAAACTTGGAATAGGTATGAAAGATCAGAATTCAAAAAGTGATATATCTTTTCCCAGATGAACAAGTATTTGTTCCTTCAAATGGTTAACACTTATCTCTGGGCAAATGGAAAAAGCAGCACGAATTGCAGCCTCTGTGTTTAAAGCAAACTTCTAAACCAGCCCTGCAAGAAGCAGGCAGGAAGGGGCTGCTGGGTCGGGGGAGGTGGGGAGAGGGAAAGGAGTGACTGCCCTTATCCTAACGCCCTGCCTGCCTGCGAGGCTGGGCTGGATCCATCTATCAAGGCACGCAGCAATCTGGGGCTCTGTCCCTTTGACAAGAAAGTCCCTCTTTGTTACCTTGCTATTATGCCTGGCAGCTGCTTGTCCATGAATTCCCGCATGCATTGGTATTCCGTGGAATTGTTGAGAAACCTCCGAAAAGCTTCAAAATATCTGCCGTGATCAGAAAACAAGCTCCTCATGGAAGATGCCATATTGTGTTTTCTAAGGAAGACAGGGAGGGAAACGCTTAACTTCCTCTCCTTCTCTCCCTAGTTCCCTATTTCTCTCCCCACCCCCACCAGCTGCTATTTAAAGAAGAAGAAAGAATGAGGAAAAGGAGAAGGAAAAGGGAAAGAAGGAAAAAAAAAAAAAAAAAAAACAGAAGAGGTCTTGCTTTGAATTTAGCATGTATTCAGAGCTGGTGTGCAGAGCTTAATAAATCAGTATTTGGACTGATATTTTAACGCTTGCAGTTTTTATTTTTCAAAATAAATAGAAATATTAAACTAAAATAAGTCAATCCAAAGGTGAAACTTGTTTTAAAATTCTAAAGTTCCGAAAGACATGAACGGAGATTGCATTCAAATCACTTCCTGTTTTGTTGGCAGCTACCACAAGTTAAGTTCCAAGTGGAAAAGTGGCTTTTTAAAGAGACAAAACAGTGGGGTAAACAGGGCAGCAGAAATCTATTTATCCCAGAACCATTTTTAGAAATCTATGGCTGCTGCAGTCTGACAAAAGGCTCTTACCTGCTTCCCTGCTTTTGTACAGGAGAGCACTTCATGAAGTCACATCTCTCAACTTTTGAACCTTGAACTCACTTGTTTTATTTCTTTAAATGCTATTGACTGATTGGAACCCAGAAAGTCTCTTAGGTCCAAGAGTAGCCTGAGTGGTACTAGCTAGAAGCTCATAGTGAAGAGTTATGGTTGTTTAATATATTTGCCTGAACTCTCAGGCTCCTCTATCTTGAGTATAAGGGCCAAAAGACAGGTGCCACAATTATGTTCTGTCAGGTTGCCTACAGTAGAATTTCAGTTTTTTAAACTGATTAAATATGTGATTGAACTATTCCATATTGAGATATTCTCTACTGTCAAGTATTCTACATCTTTGGTACAAGCAGCTGAGTTAAAAATATTGTAGGTACTCAGATAGGGCTGGGCCCTTGATGGAGCCAATGCAGAAGACCAGATACCTTGCAGCACTGGAGGAGACAGACAACACTGCTGAGGGCCAGATCTCAAGGCAAAAGGCAAAACAAATGCAACCACACCCAAAGTATAAACATCAGGGATTGGTATCTCAATAGGTATGGATCACTTTGAGAAAGCCCGCAGTCACCATCCCAACCCCCTACAGAAAGTCACTGCTCTTTTAAGCATGCCTGCTTGCTACTGGACTCATTTCCCCACTTGTCTCTGATTTGGTCAGTTTTACCTGAACAGTTAATCTTATTTGAATTTAGCATGTATTCAGAGCTGGTGTGCAGAGCTTAATAAATCAGTATTTGGACTGATATTTTAACGCTTGACAGTCTTTAGCAACCCCTTCTGCCTCTCTTTCAGACACAAGCTTTCTTTCCCTCAATAAATATATTATGCTGTTCACCTCCATTGATCCTAAAATTTATTCTTTGATTTTAGAGAATACGCACTGGTACTAGACATCTGGTAGGTTGGAAGCTCATTCCCCTATATCATTTTTATTAGTGGATAACTTGGTTTTACTAATGGCTCCTGTAATTCTAGTTATCAAGTACTTGCTCTGTGCCAGGAATTATGTGATTTTTTTGTCAAATACAGGATTTTTCCTTTTCAGGGACTTCATGAGGAGAAGACTGTTTCTGAGAAGTTGTACCTTGTTCAAAGATGCCCAGCTAAGAATCAGCAGGGCCAATATATAATTCCAGGCTTTTACATGCAGGACCAGTGCTTTCACTGAAGTCTTTATGTCCAGCCAAAATCTGCATCCTTTTGACTTCAAATATCACTTCTATTTCAGGTTGCCTAAGCAATGTGAAGTGCCTAAGCACTTCTTAAAATCTTTTTAAATGAACACAATATGCCAGAGGCTGCCTATTCAATGTAAGGTATTACCATTGTCTAGACTTAGGCTATTGTTTCCCAATGGTTTTTAAAAATTTTATTAGATATTTTGCAGGAATGTTTACATAGTCAGATAATTTAATAGCACAGTTTTCAGTAGATACTTCTGGATATTTATAACATGTTTAACAATTAAAGTTCTTGTTTTTGGTCACATGCTATCTTAAAATGCAGATAGATATACTCATGCCTACGTTATTTTTCTGATTAGTTTTGTAGGCTCTTGCAGAAAAAAAAGTGCTAGGCATGATAGTGCATGCCTGTAATCCCAGAATTTAGGAAGCTAAAGCAGGAGGATTGCCAAGAGTTTAAGAGAACAGCCTGGGGTACATACTGAGTCCTTGGCCATGAACTACATAGCAGTAAGATTTAAAAAAAAAAAAAAAGGAAGAAAAACAAAAAATAAATATAAAAAGAAGAAAATTCGTTACATTTGATTAAATACTGATTTCAGCAGTTACTACTTTTTCACATTTTATGTAGAACATATTATTTTTAATAATCCATGAACTAGAATTGTCCTAGGAATCAACCACTTAACTGGAATCACCAAATCTTAGGAATCCTCCTCTTTTTTGAAAATTGGAGCATAGGTTAGGATATCTGTCTCTTGCCAAGACCTCTCAAAGGTCAAAGTTATGATGTCATTATTACTTCTATAAATTTTGCAACAAAGTGGGGTACAGTAATTCTTTTAGACTTAAAAGATTATTTAATTTGTTTTCTAATTTTTTGGCCAATTTTGGTCTTTCGTTCCCTGTCACCTATTATTTATGAATCTATTATCATATCAAAGTGCCCTACATACGTCATTGTCATTTTGTGTAACACTCAGACCTCTGGGGGTAGAACTATTGATATCATCAAATGAGACTCAGACCAGAGTTTACAAGATCTTATGACTTCTAAGAAAAGAGCCTGGATCTAAATCTATGTTTGATTCTGAAGACCATTTTTAAAATTATAACATAATACTTCTCATTTTGTGGATTTCCAGTATGATAACTATTTTTCATGTTAGAAAAGACTGGAACAAAGAAAAAGTAGAGTTATTCTATATTCTTTGTACCATGTATTACTAGCATGCAATCTCTAAATCAAAACACAAAAGTGTTTCCTTTTTTGATCTTGCTGTGGGTGTGCTATACCCCCCAAAAAAGAAACAAAATAGTAAATAAGACACAAAAAGTAGCAAAATATTCAGGACCCACTTTATTATATGTAGCACTCTTCAGATATCTGGGATTTAATCTTCCAAATACTGCTTTCATTGACTCTTTATCCTTCTATATCCCATCATTTAAATACCATAAAATCTATCAATCAAATAATAGATTGATAAAGGGATACCTATATATGATAAAAGCCAAACTATTAAATCGTTTTAACTCAATAGTTCAATGAATTCTATTTTCTTGGCACGAATTGAAGGGGAAGATATTTTAAACAAATTAATTGGGTTTTTTATTTGCTGTGTCTCTCTCACACAGAAGCTTTTTTTCTTTCAATAAATATATCATGCCCTTAATCTCCATTGTCCCTAAAATTCATTCTTTGATTTTAGAGAACACAAATTCTTACTGGACATCTAGTAGGTTGGGAGTTTCTTTCTCCTATACCAATAGTAAAATACTGTAAACAAAACACGGCTACTGTGAACTATGAACATTTACTCTCAAAAGTCATTAAGATTTGTTTTATGGGTGTGGTATATAGATGGAAACACCTTTGCAGTAATCCTGGGTTTTAGTAGACCCACCCAAAGGACCGCCAATGTTTATCTGGGACTCCTTTGTAATTTTTAGAATTGGCTATGAGCAGGGGCTCCCTACCCACTTTTCCTTATATAATGGGAGGTAAGAGGTTGGGTTTGCAGATTGCCAATAGGTAACTGAAAACAGTATAAATCTTAACATCTCTGTTTCCTTTATTACCTTACAATTATAGATCACATCTCTGCTGAGCTCTGCATGCAGTTATGTTAGTCACTGAAGGGGCATCTATATAAAAAATAACATTGTAAGGTTTATTAACCCTAAATGTACTTAACCTAACTCATCTTCTTTCAATATGTAGGACACCAAGATAAGGATAACCAGGATATTATCACCATTCCCAGGGACATTCAATTCCCAGCATCTACAGGATCTTATTCCAGACCTCTGAAGCAGCATCTAAATGTTTCTAGTCATTGCCTAAACATTCAGGAACAGCAGAGCCTCACAGACAGAAGATTCCATGATGATATTATTCCCTGACTCACGCATGAACAGAAGCAAGCGCATGACAGAACTGAGGCAGCACCTTCCTCAAGTAGGAGCAATCATTGCCTGAGAACCAGATTGCCCCCATAAGCCATAATAGTCCACTGGAGGCATCTCACAAACACAGTTCTGAACTAAAAATCAGCCAGACCAGGTTGGATCCATATTATCTACCCTGTCAGCTATGCAAACTACCTCCTTCAACTAGGCAAAGTCTCAGCATTTACCTTTGTCCTCTGTTATCTAAAACCTCAACTTCTTTTGTCAATCCTTGAACACATAACATAATTCTTTCCTTTGTACTTGCCAGCATAGCTACATTGATTAAAGTTTTTTCTGGACTTTCACTTCTGCTGGTCTCTTTAATTGGTATTATGGAACAACTAGCCAGCCACGGTCCATTTGGGGTCCCCAGAACTCAGGCTTTCACCCTAAAACTGCCATGCTTTCAGGTACAGTCAGTAATTAGAGGACTATGCAAGCCCTGCTTCTACTTCTTGCTACTCCCTTTTCTCTCTGTGGAACTGACCAGTCAGTCAGTTGAATTAGGATTCAATTTCTTTGTATGGAGAGGACTGCAATCATAATCTTACTTTCAATTCTAATATTCTAAAATTATTTTGAGTTTAAGCCTTTTAAACAGAGAGGTGGCTTAGATTAAAAGTATGAGGCTACCTTGGTGCATCTGGTACTCATTCTCTTTGGTATTTCTCCTTTTCTAAAACAAATTAAAATCTATTTTTCAATTTTAAGCAAAAATTACACCATCAAGCTGCATTAACCATTCGGAAAACATAAGGAGATCATAGTAATTACCCATATGTTCACAGACAGCAGAAAATAAAGTCTGTTTATCAATATGGCATTATTTCCTATATAAGACCTTAAGAGTTGTTTTTAAATATAGCCGATATGTATTGAGCACAAGCCTCTTTCTCAGTGTATTCTGTCATCAGCCATTACAAGAGGAGATATCAGTGGGTTCAGGTAGCTGGAAGCTGACCTCCTGAAAATATAGCTGCTGTTATGTTTCAGTGTATGCATTTCATGCCACCAGAGGAATTTGTGGTCAATAAAATTATAGTTTAAAAAGAGGCATAATATACATAAAGGCATATTTAAAGCTTCTTTGTTCTGTCCAAATTAATATTTTTATTGAGACATATCTACCAACATGAAATACAGATTGGGCCCAAGACATGAACAGCATGTGGGATTAATTTCATGGCTCGAAAATTTCATTTTTGGCTATTCTGAACTGAATTGTATCTCTGAACTATCTTATCTCTGAAATTCTCCATTCCTAAAACAATGTTGGAAGGGAAAACACATGCCTAAAAATTGTATTCTATTTTATTGTCTGTTTTAAATTTGGATGTCAAGTAAAATGTTGGC